GCCATAATGTAAATAATTGATAATCACATACTTGTTGTTATTCTTTCAGAGATCAATGCAGTGTGTCTGTTTACAACAGACGTACCATAGTGACGCCAGGCCTTCTCACTGTCAGCAGAACCCGGCTAGAAAGACTAGACCGGGTACAAAATGAGGCCATGAGACTCATACTCAACTGCACAAAAGACACCTCCTGCAATGCCACGTGGTATGTCCTGGGTTTGCCGACGATGGCTAGCAGACCCAAAGTGGCACAATTCAAGGCGGACATGAGGGTATCAGCACGGGCATACACAACACAAATGATGGGGTAAATAATAAAAGAGGACAGTGGAGCTTACCAGGCAACTATGTCAAGCATGGAGACCACCAGGCAACTATGTCAAGCATGGAGACCACCAGGCAACTATGTCAAGCATGGAGACCACCAGGCAACTATGTCAAGTATGGAGACCACCAGGCAACTATGTCAAGCATGGAGACCACCAGGCAACTATGTCAAGCATGGAGACCACCAGGCAACTATGTCAAGCATGGAGACCACCAGGCAACTATGTCAAGCATGGAGACCACCAGGCAACTATGTCAAGTATGGAGACCACCAGGCAACTATGTCAAGCATGGAGACCACCAGGCAACTATGTCAAGCATGGAGACCACCAGGCAACTATGTCAAGCATGGAGACCACCAGGCAACTATGTCAAGCATGGAGACCACCAGGCAACTATGTCAAGCATGGAGACCACCAGGCAACTATGTCAAGTATGGAGACCACCAGGCAACTATGTCAAGCATGGAGACCACCAGGCAACTATGTCAAGCATGGAGACCACCAGGCAACTATGTCAAGCATGGAGACCACCAGGCAACTATGTCAAGTATGGAGACCACCAGGCAACTATGTCAAGTATGGAGACCACCAGGCAACTATGTCAAGCATGGAGACCACCAGGCAACTATGTCAAGCATGGAGACCACCAGGCAACTATGTCAAGTATGGAGACCACCAGGCAACTATGTCAAGCATGGAGACCACCAGGCAACTATGTCAAGCATGGAGACCACCAGGCAACTATGTCAAGCATGGAGACCACCAGGCAACTATGTCAAGCATGGAGACCACCAGGCAACTATGTCAAGCATGGAGACCACCAGGCAACTATGTCAAGTATGGAGACCACCAGGCAACTATGTCAAGCATGGAGACCACCAGGCAACTATGTCAAGCATGGAGACCACCAGGCAACTATGTCAAGTATGGAGACCACCAGGCAACTATGTCAAGCATGGAGACCACCAGGCAACTATGTCAAGCATGGAGACCACCAGGCAACTATGTCAAGCATGGAGACCACCAGGCAACTATGTCAAGCATGGAGACCACCAGGCAACTATGTCAAGCATGGAGACCACCAGGCAACTATGTCAAGCATGGAGACCACCAGGCAACTATGTCAAGCATGGAGACCACCAGGCAACTATGTCAAGCATGGAGACCACCAGGCAACTATGTCAAGCATGGAGACCACCAGGCAACTATGTCAAGCATGGAGACCACCAGGCAACTATGTCAAGCATGGAGACCACCAGGCAACTATGTCAAGCATGGAGACCACCAGGCAACTATGTCAAGCATGGAGACCACCAGGCAACTATGTCAAGCATGACCCTGGAGACCTTCTAGGACACTAGCGTGGGCAGTAGAGCAAACAGCCACACACGCAGTAACTGTATCAGATTCTATGAAGGTGCCTAAGACAACAGCAACAGGCAGTATACGCTTTGAATGGGTAGAAAGCATTATAAAATCACACTTAACCTCCCTCACCTGGATCTACACAACTAGCCATGCTGGCGTAAAGGGTGTTGGGCGACCAGTCCGTCTGGCAAACAATGCACCAGCATGTAGGAAGAAGCATGATCAGAGCAGATATCATCAACACTGAAGAAACTAGATTAGTGGATAATGATGATCTCTGACACTAATATGATTGCATGACATGGGAGTAAAGCATGGTAAAGCACTTGTATGCCACTTCAAAATCGATTTAGGAGACATTATAACCAACCTCTCATAGAAACAATTAGTAAAAGTACCTTGGACTGGCTGCTGCATCAGAGGACTGAGCAAGCATGGGAATGCCCAATGTGCAGTGACGTTGACTGTGATAACACAACATAATTGACAGCCTTTGGCTCATATATCAAACTTCTTTAGACATAAGCTTATCAGGATCGAGTTAACGTTCTCATATCATATTTAATCAACAACTAAATAGTGAAGACACAAGAATCAGTGATGTGAATTTTGAAGGAAAAAAGTATGGTGCTACTAAAACATGGATCCTCACACAGCAACAACCCATGGGTTTTAGATGACAATTTTTTGGTGTCTTGTGAAGAAAGATTTGACTTAGAATCAGGTGATTATAAACAATCTTTATAAGGTCTGTCTGTCTGGTATCTTGTGGAGAAAGATTTGACTTAGAATCAGGTGATTATAAACAATCTTTATAAGGTCTGTCTGTCTGGTGTCTTGTGGAGAAAGATTTGACTTAGAATCAGGTGATTATAAACAATCTTTATAAGGTCTGTCTGTCTGGTATCTTGTGGAGAAAGATTTGACTTAGAATCAGGTGATTATAAACAATCTTTATAAGGTCTGTCTGTCTGGTATCTTGTGAAGAAAGATTTGACTTAGTATCAGGTGATTATAAACAATCTTTATAAGGTCTGTCTGTCTGGTATCTTGTGAAGAAAGATTTGACTTAGAATAAGGTGATTATAAACAATCTTTATAAGGTCTGTCTGTCTGTCTGGTATCTTGTGGAGAAAGATTTGACTTAGTATCAGGTGATTAAAAACAATTTTTATAAGGTCTCTCTGTCTGGTGTCTTGTGGAGAAAGATTTGACTTAGTATCAGGTGATTATAAACAATCTTTATAAGTTCTGTCTGTCTGGTATCTTGTGAAGAAAGATTTGACTTAGTATCAGGTGATTATAAACAATCTTTATAAGGTCTGTCTGTCTGGTATCTTGCGAAGAAAGATTTGACTTAGTATCAGGTGATTATAAACAATCTTTATAAGGTCTGTCTGTCTGGTATCTTGTGAAGAAAGATTTGACTTAGAATAAGGTGATTATAAACAATCTTTATAAGGTCTGTCTGTCTGTCTGGTATCTTGTGGAGAAAGATTTGACTTAGTATCAGGTGATTAAAAACAATTTTTATAAGGTCTCTCTGTCTGGTGTCTTGTGGAGAAAGATTTGACTTAGTATCAGGTGATTATAAACAATCTTTATAAGTTCTGTCTGTCTGGTATCTTGTGAAGAAAGATTTGACTTAGTATCAGGTGATTATAAACAATCTTTATAAGGTCTGTCTGTCTGGTATCTTGCGAAGAAAGATTTGACTTAGTATCAGGTGATCATAAACAATCTTTATAAGGTCTGTCTGTCTGGTATCTTGTGAAGAAAGATTTGACTTAGTATCAGGTGATTATAAACAATCTTTATTAGGTCTGTGTCTGGTATCTTGTGGAGAAAGATTTGACTTAGTATCAGGTGATTATAAACAATCTTTATAAGTTCTGTCTGTCTGGTATCTTGTGAAGAAAGATTTGACTTAGTATCAGGTGATTATAAACAATCTTTATAAGGTCTGTCTGTCTGGTATCTTGTGGAGAAAGATTTGACTTAGTATCAGGTGATTATAAACAATCTTTATAAGGTCTGTCTGTCTGGTATCTTGTGAAGAAAGATTTGACTTAGTATCAGGTGATCATAAACAATCTTTATAAGATCTGTCTGTCTGAATGTATCCCCTCTAGGCACCTATTTGAAGGTTTGATCCTCCCTGAGACAGTCATTTCCTGGGTAACAGCCTAAACAGGGCAAACCTTGGATACCTTGTTCAACCCCCACAGAAGTTATAATTAGGACACCCATAATGCTCACACCAGGGTGAGGTAACCTGAGTGCTGTCTGGGTAAATATCTTGTATACTAAGGTATGGCCAGGTACTGTGCTTTTGTAGACAGTGTGCCAGCTAGAACTGTCTGCTCATTCCCTGATGTGTTGGTGAGGATTCCCTTGGTTTCTGGCTGAGTGTTCATAACTAGGTATTACTCTGGGTTGTCTGTGTGTTTCTCTCTCTCTTTTTATTGTTTTATCTGTAAACCAAGATGTGTGTACTATTGTGCCATCCATGTTCATTCAAGATGTGTGTCCCTTTGTTCCATCCATCTGAAAGCCACAATGTCTGTCCTTTTGTTCCATCCATCTGAAAGCCACAATGTCTGTCCTTTTGTTGTATTTATCTGTAATTCAAGATGTGTGTCCTTTTGTTCCATCCATCTGAAAGCCACAATGTCTGTCCTTTTGTTGTATTTATCTGTAAATCAAGATGTCTGTCTTTTTGTTCCTTTTTTGTAGGCTAAGATATCCGTTCTTTTGTTTAATTAATCTGTAAGCAAAGATGTTTGTTATTATGTTTTTAAATGTGTCTGTAAGCCAAAATATCTCCTCCTTTTTGGTTTTTTATTTGCTTATGTATCTGTAAGCCAAGGTGTATTTACCCATTTCTTTAATTATCTGTAAGCCGATTTATTACAATATTATCATAATTTTCAAAACCACTAAATCTGGTCTGTTATGACATAATTTACCAGTTGTTCTCTTCTCATTATTTGAGCAAACAATGCTAACTGTTTTCTTCCGCAGTCTGAGAGTGACACTCAACATGCCAAGGTGTCATTTACAACATATTCATCACTCATTTGTACGTCCACAGTATCTGCAACATCCTTCTGTAAAACTAGATTTCTTTACACAGAATGTGACATTCCACAGTAACATTATGGAATGTCAACTACATCAACACATGTATATGTATATTTGTTACAATAACAAACTAAAGCACTACATTCTTCCTGGATATATGGCACACAAAAACAAATTACAAGTTCAGTAAAAGCTGTGAAGGCAGATAACTCCTAATTACTCTTCCTTCTTTTCAGGGTTATCTCTCCAGATCCTGTAGTTGAGATAGGTAGCAAAGGCTACCCAACCAAAGTAGGGAAACAGCACGAAGGCGGCCGTCTCATTCACACGATAGAAGGCTGCGATGGTGCCTGCGATGCCTCCCAGTAAGCAAACACTGTCTACAAATGCCTGGCCAAGCACAAGATAAAATAGGAAAATTAGATAACAATTCAAACAAGAATGTTATTAAAAATGGTGTTTCCTGTTTCTATAAACCATTACTTTTCTTTCTTCCCTGACAAAGTGGTCAAGTTATTTGTCTGGTGCTCCGAAGGTCGTGGGCTCATTTCCTTGCTAAATCATTCGGTTCAAGAGCACAGTTCTTTTATGGACATCCTAAGTGATCATCGCTAAAACTATAGAGTTGTACTTTCTGTGGTGCTCTTGGCAGGCGGATAGCCATTTTCCTGAGCTATATGGGTTGAAATCCCAGTTTGAGGAAGGCAATCCTCCCAACTGTAACTTTAACCAGGATCCAAGGGTGATGCAAAAAAAAAAAAAAGAACCATGCATGTTGTAGGAGGTGAGCAAGAAGGAATGGCATGAAATTGTTTGCCTTGTCCCACAGACAATATAGCTACACATTTTGAACATTAACAAACCTACAAAGTGCTTGGCATAAGTGGACAGGCAGAAGAATAAGATATACTATTTTTCTAAGTCTGCACGACTGGGTAGTAATGTTAGTCACATGACCAACTGAGTGCCAATACTGTTTTAGTGTTTATGGCCCAATATGTCTGTGGTTGGAAAAAGAGTTCTTCTTTTAACCTTTCACAAAAATGTTACACTGAGAGAAAAACAGGTGAACTTTTAATGAGGTTGTACAAGCAACACTATTAGCGGGAGAACTCTCTGTTGGCTTCTGAGAAGGAGACAGAACACATGTGGGAATGATGATTCCTGATTCATTCATTGATTATTTTATGTAACTTTCTGCATTTGCATCAAGTTCTTTCAGAAGTTTATCTATGTGTCTCATTCGATGTTTGTGTATTTATTTCACAAGATCTTCAACTCTATCCCACCACCACTTGCCAGAAGTACAGCAAGAACATTAGAAGACTGAAATAATTTTAAGATATAACACTACTTCAGAGCAACATTATAGTCAGTAGGCAGACAATGAACCAAGTGAACTAGCAACTGGGAAGCCTCCTTTCAAAGAATGGCAGGCCGGGTGAAGAAATCAAAGTCAGAATCCAGCATCATCATCATGTAGCAGGTCCTTTGCAGAACGTCGCTCTCATCAAGGTCTACCCGAAAGAAACTCCATCTCTCGCCAGCTTTTCCACCTTAAGTACTTTCATATTCAAGGAGTCACTTATATCCTGTGCCCATCTTCGTGTTGGTTGACCCCTCCCCCTTCTACCTGGTACAATGCCTTCCGCTATAATTTTTTCCAATCCATTTTACCGGCTTATTTGTGTGCAACTAGTTGTTCCTTGCCCCTCATGCAGATGCACTCTGATTCCGAAGGAAGCCCCCAGTTAGTCAACTCCTACTACATGCTAGTTAGAGAGGCAGTGGGTCTATTCTTGTTTTCCCCATAATGGGGCCCCGGAACCCATACAGGGAACTTGATACCATTTCAGAGTTTCTCTGATGTTATCTTTCAACCTTGTCCTCAGGCTCTACATCCTTTCTAATCTTTGGCTAAGCATGGCAATAGAAAAAAACTGCTGATACAGAAGTCTGGCGATCTCTCTGGCAAACCTCTACACACCCCTAGGTAGAAGACAAGCGACTAAGTAAGTACGGCATTAAAAAGCATTCTCTCCAAGTGGCCAAACCATTTTATTTGCTGTGTTTGTATGTAATTTAGTGTTGGTTCGACATCAACTTGTTTCTCTCCCATGACTTCAATCCTAATTTTCCTCTTATGGTCACTCATACAGCCTTTTATAAACATCTCATTTCTGTTATAAATTTGTGTTTCTGTATTGCTCTGTAAAGGCATGCCCAAACAAACTCTCCAGTAATTAAAATACTTACTAGCCGAGCAGTTACCTCAACAGGCTCTTATGTGGAAGATCCAAGTTCGATCCTTTGTAAAGTAATGGGAGTTTCTTTGTCAGGGGAAAAAAAAAGTATAGATCCTAACCTTCACATTCCCTGGCCACATCATTGCCCCGCAGTTCTAAATATTTGGCGCTTCTGACCTCCCTGCCTACACTACCTTAAAAAGCGGTACAGACAGTAGTGACAGTTCATACAGACAGTAGTGACAGTACATACAGACAGCAGTGACACTACAGACAGACAGCAGTGACAGTTCATACTGACCCATTTTGGACTGCGCAATCCAAAGAAGATGGGAGTCCAGGCCCAGTTTAGAGCCAGCTGGGTCCCATACAAGGCCAGAGGTCCAGCTGCATCCCCTCGGAATCCCCCTCCATCCCTCCAGACCAGGTAGGAGGCATACCCCATGCTGCTGTAGAGTGTCGTCCACACCACGGGGAAGATTTTGTTGGGAGGTCGCCAGGATGGGTATTTCAGTCCCTGGAAGTGAACATATGTTTCCAGAATTAGGTCAAGCAGACCAACCAGTCGTTACTTTCAATCTTTCTATTGTCATCAGTAATTACTTCCAATCTTTCTATTGTCATCAGTTATTACTTCCAATCTTTCTATTGTCATCAGTAATTACTTCCAATCTTTCTATTGTCATCAGTAATTACTTCCAATCTTTCTTTTGTCATCAGTAATTACTTTTCTACTTGAAATCTTTCTTATGAAGCTCATCACTTCAGACCCTCTTACTTTCAAAGACCGGTGACGGACCTCATAGTTTATAAGTTGGTCTGATGAATATTTTACCATATTTGTTGGTGAACAAGATACATCTTTCTATACTCGAAAAAAGGCTTTTAAATTATGCTGTGTCTGATACAACGAAGGTAGGCCTACATGTACTGGTATTTGACACAGCTGCCCACACCCGAGAGTCCCCCCCCCCCACCACACCCCCCATGATCTTGGAATGTTCCACTTTCAAGAGACAATGATGCAACCTATGAATGAGACAGAGACAAACAGTTTCACATGGGAAATGCACTGCTGTGGAAACCCTTCATTCTCTGTAGGTAGTACTATTTCATTACATCACTTCAATCAGGGCTGCTGCTACAAAAAGTGTTGTTTTTTATCTTGAAAATAACTTTCAGTTTTTGTGGTGCATCTTACACTAGGGATAATCTTATACACCAATAAACAGGATAAAATATTAACAGTCAAATATGGTGGATAGGCAGGTCACTGTTTTTAATTATAGCAAGTTATCTGCTTCTCGCTATGATTAGCCATTGCATTTACTCCAATAAATTAAATGAACATATTTATTTTCATCACCTAGTAATGAGGTGAGTGCATGGTGCGACACTATGAGCTGCAGATTTCATTTGGAATGCTTTTCACTTGTACCCAGTATGTTTTATGTTGTGAACTGCAAATTCAAAAAATGGTGAGTGGTCTTTGCCACAGAAATGTGAGTGCTGTTTGCAATTAATTGCATGTGCAACTATTAATGTTTTGTCTTCCCCTTGCTCTGTGATTATTATATTTCTTCAGTATGGTTCTCTGTGGCAGTTGGTACCAGGGAATTCTCCTCAGGTGGCCAAACCATCTCATTTGTTGTTCTTTAATGAACTGTATGACTGGTTCAATTGTTGTAAAGCTGTGGAAGTATAAATAACTGGAAAACACAGTGTACAGATTAGCCTCACACAACTGCAGTTACAAACAAACATAACACAACGGCAATTACAAACAAACATAACACGACTGCAATTACAAACAAACATAACACAACTGCAATTACAAACAAACATAACACGACTGCAATTACAAACAAATACAACACAATTGCAACTACAAACAAACATAACACAACTGCAATTACAAACAAATATAACAACTGCAATTACAAACAAACATTTCACAACTGCAATTACTAACAAACATAACACGACAGCAATTACAAACAAATATAACAACTGCAATTACAAACAAACATAACACAACTGCTGTTACAAAGAAATATAACACAACTGCAATTACAAACAAATATAACACAACTGCAGTTACAAACACCCATAACACAACTGCAATTACAAAAAAATATAACACAATTGCAATAACAAACAAACATTAAAGAAAATTTAAAAATCTTTGAAGCAAAGCAATACTTGATCAGAAAAGAACCAGATGCAAAAACTCTTCTCTGATATATAAATTAGTCAGACACAGTTCCAGTTTAACTAAACACCCATCATTCCATAACTGCTCCACTGCTGTGCAAGCGAAGGCCACAGAGATTGCTCAACGCTGTTCCTTGTAGGGAAAAATTGATTCAGGCTGCTGTTGTTACAAAACAATAAATGTATAAGGTAGCCAAAGCACCAACAAACACATCAGTTCATCATTAATGGAGGCAACAGTTACCACAAATGAAAATATAGGGCGACAGCAGTCAAGCTAATACAAGAAATTCCAGCGAAATTTGATTAAAAGGCTTAACCAAACGGGGAAGCAGAAAAATGTGCACAAAACAACACAGATTGTTTTTCTGCTTCTCCATATATTCTCCATTAAGTTTTTTAGTCAAATTTCATTGGAATTATCACGAATGAGCAGTTCAAAACGCAATACTGCATATGGCACCGCCAGTTCTATGGTAACAGATCACTCAACATTGTTTAAATCTCCAGTTCTCAACACAAACCACCTAATCTCCAGTTCTCAACACAAACCACCTAATCTCCAGTTCTCAACACAAACCACCTAATCTCCAGTTCTCAACACAAACCACCTAATCTCCAGTTCTCAACACAAACCACCTAATCTCCAGTTCTCAACACAAACCACCTAATCTCCAGTTCTCAACACAAACCACCTAATCTCCAGTTCTCAACACAAACCACCTAATCTCCAGTTCTCAACACAAACCACCTAATCTCCAGTTCTCAACACAAACCACCTAGGGCACAGTCAGAAATTATACATAAGAAACTCTTCTTTGGTAGAGAAAATAAAACTCTCAGATTTGTCAGAAATTCTTCTCTGCCAGATGATAACAAATGATCAGATTTATAGGAAACTCCTCTGTGATAGAAACAGAAAGAAATACTTTCATGCCTTTAAACCTGAACCCCTTGTCCTTCCTCACATGTACTCTATCTGAGCTTTATATCTGACATTTACTTTACTGACCTCGTACCATCCATCCAGGTTTCTTCGAGCAAATAAACCTCCAGCAACAGCTCCTAGGTGTGGCACCAAGATGGCAGTCACTGGGGCCACGTAATCTGACATCTGTAGACATTATAAAGGCCACATATTCATGTTAAAAATTGAAAAAAAAAAAAAACCTGTAACTCAGTTTCAAACACAACGAAGACAGTGAAAATATCTCAAGCTTTGAATACATTAACGGGGCACAGAGATACTGAAACACACAAGCTGGTACACCAGGAGTAGGGCACAAATCGGTGTGTATCTGTGTGTGTCTATGTGTGTGTCTATGTGTGTCTGGGCATACGGCTGTGTGTGTGGCTGCATGTGTGTGCATCTGTGCCTGTGTGTTTCTGTGCCTGTTTGTGTGTCTGTGTGTGTTTGTGTCTGTGTGTGTGTCTGTATGTGTGTCTGTGTGCATGTCTGTGTGTGTCTCTGTGTGTGTGAGTGTATGCATATGTGTGTGTGTGTGCGTGTTTCGGTGTGTCTGTGGCTGCCTATGTGTGTATGCGTGTGTCTTTGTGTATGGCTGCATACGTGTGTGTGTGTCAATGTGTGTGTCTGGGTGTGTGGCTGTGTGTGCGTGTGTGTGTGTGTGTGCATGTGCGTGTGTGTGTGTGTGTGTGCATAGTATGTGCGTATGAATGTGTGTATGGATGTGTGTATGTATGTATGTAGGTGAATATGTGTGGTGGGTGTGTCGGTGTGTCTGTGGCTACCTATGTGTGTATGCGTGTGTCTTTGTGTATGGCTGCATATGTGTGTGTATCAATGTGTGTGTCTGGATGTGTGGCTGAGTGTGTGTATGTGTGTGCATGTGTGCGTGCGTGTATGTGCGTATGAATGTGTGTATGAATGTGTGTATGTATGTATGTATGTAGGTGGATATATGTGGTGTGTGTGTGGGTGTGTGTGTTTGAGTGAGTGAGTTTGCATGTATATGTGGGTGTATGTGTGCGAGTGTGAGTGTGTGCTTGCATTTTACCGCCCGTGCGTTGTGTTTTTGCTTGATATTCATAATATGCATATTATTATATGAACATAGCATGCTTTATTGATAAAATACAACTGCTGGGTGAAAAATGGGTGTTTAGAAAAGCCGAATATAAGACAGGCCTGCTTGCCCAATATGTGACTCTTTGAAAATAAAGATTGTTCGTTCGTTCGTTTGCCTTCCCGAGCATGCTTTCTGAAACAGTTACATTCATGATATGTCTATGTTTGTGCGTGCGTGTGTGTGTGTCTTTTTCTCTAACCAGTGGAAAGCTGCAGTGACCGCCTCCACCTCCACTCTCAAGCTAGATGCTGCAGGATCATATACTAGGTTCTCCTGCACCAAGCGTCAACTAGGATGTTAACATGGACAACAAGTAACACGTCGTAACACTGCAACTTTATGACAATTTTTGCCCAATTTGTTTTTGCTTGTTTCAGTCCATGTATTTATTTTTAATTTTAATAAAAATTTTGGCTCTCCTCTGAACAGCATCATAATATTATGGCGGCCATAAAATATAAAAAAATATCCGAACGGGGCTCAGGCATATCTAAAATATGAACTTTCTGCCAAGGAACAAATCGCAGCAAAACTAGGATTACGACAATTTCAACATTGCACACGGTAGTAGCAGACCGTTGACAATTTCGAAACATTACAGACGATGAAAGCGATATGGCGGATAGACCACACGTTCCCACGCAGATTGGCAATACTGTTCGTCCGACTGAGGATTTAGCAGAGGTAGATGTCACACCTGCCAACCTGTATCCTCATACTTTTCGGCATGCGCAAAATGCAATTAAACTTACCGCCGAGCGTATCCCCCGCGCTGCTACGCGCGGCGCGGATGGGGGGCTAAACTAGGTGCCTGGGACTCACTAGCAAATTAGTTGGAGAAAGTTAAAGGAGATGCGTTAGCTGCTGCTCGTGAGTCCCAGCCATTTAGTTTAGCCTCCATCCGCGCCGCGCGTAGTGGCGCGGGGGATACGGTCGGCGGTGAGGCACAGTCTCAGAAACAGGTCCGCAAGTAACATATCGCTGAGACCCTGTTAGAGCATTTGTTTTGTTATACGGAGCCGGCATATTTTTAATAGAACTGAGCCCCGTTCGGATATTTTTGGATATTTTATGGCCGCCATAATATTATGACGCCGTTCGGAGGAGAGCCAGAATTGTATTTTCAGAATAATATACCCCCCCCCCCCCTTTTTTTTTTTCCCCACTTCATTCCTTCCTTCCATACATACATACATACATACACAAATACAGCAGAAGCATAATATCATTTCATGCGACAACAGCTTAATGATAGAAATGTCCTTACAGTAGATCAGTAGACAGTCAAGATAATAGCAACAGCCTTCCAGTGAATAGTTAGTTAGTTAGTTAGTTAGTTAGTTGGGTTATCCTCATTGCACTCCGGACATGTCTATAGGTGCTCAGATCCTCCCCTCAGTATGAACCCCAACGTCCGATGGCTAATAGTACCAGTTCTATGTTGATTAACAAGTCTTCTAGCGTGTCTGGTGTGCGTCTCGTTTTTTGCTGTGCCGATCTTAATTCCCAAGTCTGCCATTCTGGCGAGTGATGTGGATTCACTGCCACCAAAGTCCTCTATTCTTCCCATTTCTCGGAGGGCATTGATAATATCAGCATGATCCATAGGCTGACCGTCGGTAGTGATAGCGGATCCAGCCAACCTGTCAGCTCTTTCATTTCCATCGACGCCTGCGTGTCCCGGAACAAAAATAAAGGTGACTCCACGCACAGTGGACTTCTGTAATGATTCAAGCCATTGTCTTCGCACTGAACCTGCTTGAACCCTCCGGATCATACTCATTGAATCACTGAGTATACACACGGGGGTGTATTTTTGTGTTTCAAGCCAGGCTAGCGCTTGCGTCACTGCCATCACCTCCATCGTCATGCTGCTGGTTGTCATGGAGAAGGCGCCGTTGGCTTCTTTGACTGTTCTGCCCGCTGAGCGTGCTGTAAATGCCCATGCGCTTCTTCTTTGGCGTATAACGGATCCGTCTGTATAGATTATTGCATCTGCTTCATCTGAATTTTTTTTCACCGATGAGAGCGTTGACCTCTGCATTAACAGCGACAGGGATTCTCTTCTCTACATCGCCTGTTGAGTGTGACAATACAGGAAAATGTACAAATGAACGCCTGAGGCACAGGTATCCATTCTGCACCAGGTATGATGTCGGTTAGGCTGCATATTTGCCTAATAACATCTTCTGCCCGACCTAGCCACGATTTCCCCCTCTTCAGTCTGTCGCCCTTTTCACTAAAAAGCGCTTGATGCAGTGGGTGTTTCTTATCAGCACATATTTTGAGATATGCCCGAGCCCTCCACATCCTGATCCTTTGGTTCATTGTTGGAAAGTCAAGTAGATACCTCATTGCTCCACATGATTTGTCTCTTGTACATCCCAAAATAATGCGCATGGCTTCATTTTGCACCTTTTCGAGTCGTTCAATCTGGGTAGCACTGACAGTGAGGATGACCAGAGCGTATTCAATGGGGGAAAGGACCAGACCGTAGAATAGAAGTATTGGTAGTCTTTGCTCAATATTAGAAGCAGCTTTCCAGTGAATAACAATAGATAAATGTTTCATAAATAATTAATTATCCGTTACTTTTCAATTCCAACTGATAGTATCATAAGGCATGCTCAAATAAGCAACCAAATATCAGACGATAAAATATACAATCTGCAAATGTGTAAACATTAGGAAACAGTAAAACACATAGTACATTTCTTGTGTTTGTAAAAACAGAATCTGATCTGATCAAGTGGATTCGATCTCCAGCAGAAGATTCGTTCACCTTCGACTTCCTGCCAGTTTGGCTTTTTGTTTACAGAAACACTATTAAAGTTTTGTTATTTAAGTTTCTCACTAAACCAAGTATATTGTAAATAAATAATAATAGATAACGAAGTAGATAAAAATAGATGATAGTTCACAATAGCAGTCTAGGTCAAATTGGAAAACAAATTATTTTCAACACATTTTATCTGTGTGGTGACTTGCAACATTTTGAAATCTGGAGGATGTAACAACATCGCTTCGTTGTGTTTCAGTGTCGTTTTTTTTTTCTTCATCACCATCTTTATCAACCTGTTGTGCCACATGGGACCAAGGCCGGACTTAGGCTTGATGAGGCCCTGTGCTGTTTAAGGTTCCGAGGCCCATTCTGTTTTAATTCACAGCAATTAATCTCAGAGTTAATAACAGTTGGAAGTTGGCGTATATCAAGCTAATTATTTTATTCAATTTAAATATGCTAAAGGTTAGATTTTTTCTTTTTTTAAACTGATTTGATTTGATTTAATTCAAGAACCGACATCACAGCACCCGGGGCATTCCCATAAGCGCTCCGTCTCCATCTTCAGCAGCCAGCGAAGAGTTCCGATACTAATGGTGCCAGTAGCTTTCTGATTAAATGTCTGTCTTGCCTTTCCTCTGAGCCTAGAGCTTCTGCCAGAACCTCTCGTCACCCCCAACTGCACCAATCTCACCAAACTGTGGTGATCCATCTGCTCCTCCGCATTGTACACGCTCTCCCACAAGGCACTAACCACGTCTGCCCTATCATGTAGCAGTATTCCACCAAGTTGTGCAGAGCCAGCCAGTCTGTCCGCCTGTTCATTTCCCAACACACCGGCGTGACCCGGTGAAAAAATCCAGACAATACTCCTCACTCGTGTCCTCCGCAGCGAAGCATGCCTGTTCTGATCTTCCTCAGCATGCTTTCTGAATCAGTTACAATTACAATGTTTGTGTGTGTCGTGTTCTCTAGCCAGCGGAAAGCTGCAGTGACCGCCTCCACCTCCATTCTTAAGCTGGATGTTGTGGTATCATATGCTAGGCTCTGCTGCACCAAACGTCGACCATTAACTTTTGCTAAAAAGCCCCAAGCACTTCTTCTGCCTCTTGACACTGAACCGTCTGTGTAAATGATCAAATCCTCTGAGCGAGCATTATCTTAAATTAATTGCTGAATTTCCACCTCTGTGGCACCTGCTGGCCAGTCTCTGCATTCCCGGCTCAGCGTGATTATGACTCT